TGGGGCTCCTCCATCCTGCAGAGGCTTCCTGTGCCCTTGGCGCCTTGAGGAGGCCAGGGCTTCCCGAGTAAACCCCTCCCTTTGCCTCTGCTCTGCTCCTGGGAGTGGTCTCCGTTTGCCTGCCCAGGGTGCAATATCTCGGCACCCATGGTCTCCTGGCCACTCGCCAGTGGTTTCAGAGTGGGCTCTCCGGAGCAACAGCAGCACCATCTGGGAACTCTTTGGAAGTGCAGCCTCTCAGAACCCCCTCCCCGACCTGCTGAATCAGAAACTCTGGGGACGGCCCAGAGATCTGTGTTTAATGAGGCCTCCAGTGGATTCTGGAGATTTCTCAAGTTTGAGAGCCTCAGTGTTCAAGGACCTCCAGAAAATATCGGGGGCTCAGGCAGGCTGCAGCTGCGGTGGGAGAGGTCTCTCAGGGCTGGCAGCACACATGAGACCAGCTCTGGAGCTCTGCCAGTCTCTGTAGGGGAAAGAGCACAAAGCCTGGAGGTGGCAGAGGGACCTCGGTTCAAATCCCCTTGCTTCTTGGGCAAGTGAATAACTTCCCTAGGCCTTAGTTTCCTCATCTACAGTGGAGTTCCCACGTCCTGATAGTTGTGAGGAGAGATGAAATAGCACGTGTGTGGGTAATGGCAGTTCTCATTACTTCCCGTTATAAGGAAGGGCCTTTTTTAAAACATACCATGTCTGGGGACCAGCAGATGCCATAATGGTTACATTGCTGGACTCCCATGTAGTTGAGTGCAGTTCTAGTCCCAGACCCAGAGGCTTAAAACTCATGCCAGGCACATGTCTGTGCATGCCTAAAATCCCGAGAGGAGAATGGAGGAGAAGGGATTGCAGCATGGCCATCCCCCCAGGGGGTGATTTCTCGCTTTCTGTCTCTCTGTCTCTCCAGTGAGCACACGAATGCTTTAGCAAAAAAAAACTCTCTTAAACACAAAAAAAAAAAAACTCTCTTAAACACACACACACACACACACACACACATATATATATATATACCGTATCTGACCTCATAGCCTAGCGATTGAGGGAGCTCAGTCCCACACGGCCAACTGCATGGTTTGAATCCTGGCCCCAGAGGAGAAACACTGGGTATAAGTGCACACATGCCCCAAATTCCAAGGGGATGGAGAAAGAATTGCAATGTGATTGTGCCCTGCCCTCCTCTCTCTCTGTCTCTCTCTGGCAAGAACATGTGCTCTGTGGCAATTGAAAAAATAAAATACACCTTGTTTTCCCAGAGGGTCTGCATCCTGATTTGAACATAGAAGCAGACAAAGGAGAGAGAGTGAATGTCTTCTGACATCCTAAGAGAGGAAAACATTTTGTTCTGAAATAGGCATTTAGTGGCCTGGGGACCCCAAACAGGTACTCTGCTTTGGCATTTGTCACTTGTGTTTGCAGACAGGGTGTGACCTACACCATCTCAAACACTGTGACTTTGTGTTCTAATCATACAGCGGAGGAAGCTGAGGCCGACATGGGTTCTCTAACACGCCTGGACTACGCAGCTGGAAGGAGCTGCCAGGGCTTCCCACCTAAGGCTCTAGGCCTCTCTGCGTGCTGGGAGAGTCAGTGGGTGCCCTGTACATGCTGCTGCA